ATACCTTCGTTGTATAGGACGCAAACAGATTTTGACATCAAATTTTGGGGTAAAATATTGCGTCTTATACATCGAAAAATACGGTAGTTTAAAAAGTGTTGTTTTTCTGAAGCTGAACTGGTATGTGTTCTATTGTTCTCTGTATAGAAATATTTAAATAGACCTGAAATTGCGTATACGTCATACACGCTACAATTTACTGTTCTAAGTTTTTGTAAAATAGTTTTAATACTTGTCTTCATTATTAACTTGTATGACCTAACTTACAAAACAACTGCTTCAACATCCCATGTTACAAAAAACAACATAAATAGAATTTTAACCAAATCAAATATAATAACGTATTAAATATATTTAACTGTATTTCTGTCCCATATATAAGTTTTCTGTATTGTAACTCTCACATCAGTAGTTTGCTTGAGACAAGGAGATCAAGCACCCTCATTTCTAATTCTATGAGCACTTTATGCTACTGGGTGGTTATAAAGAATGTTTCGCAGTTCAGTGCGTCATATTTCACAAACAGTGCGACATAGGTATGTGAAATTGCACAGGGATATTAATGGTATTATACGGATGAAAATACTACAGTTGTCACATGTTGCCTCAAGGGAGAGCCACTGTAGTTTATTTCATATACTTCCCATGAGTATAAATAGGCCTGTTGATTGCAGTGCAACCCATTCAACCATCATGAAACTGACAAGTATGAAGAGGTAAACTAAGGATAATAAGTACAAAGGACTTTGTTGCTGTGTGCAAGTTCATAAAAAAATTTACACTTGTGATAAGCCATATACATGCAGACCAACGACACCTACTGAAACAGATCAACCATGTCGAAGCAGAACAAGTTAACACAAGTGCACGTTATTTTTCCTGGTGTCTGGATTTGCCAAGTTTAACTGTTCGTAATACTCTTCTGTCAACTATGCAAACGTTCCCTTACAAGCTGCATAATGTTCAAGCACTGAGAGACAGATTTAACCGAACATGTTGTGCTTGTGTTGCATTTCTTGGCAGGA